CATGCAGCAAAACCTATTCATGGGCTGAGAAGTACCCTGAGGGGTGACAGTCATACCGACCTGCGCATAGCTGACAGAAAAAAGGAGCAATAAACTATCAATAAATCAGATTTATTCAAATTTACTGTTTAGGTATTGTCAGTTTTTGACTCGTTTAAACATTTGAGCTGGAAAATTATGTAATGTCCTGATGCTGATGGGCCTTCTTTTACTTGCCCAACCCCTTTGACCTGTTATTTTAGATGTTTTTTAACTGCTTTGCTCTGTAAGCACGCGGTTCGTTGTCAGAGCCAGTGTTGGTTTTGCCACATGGCAGAGGTGTCAGGCCACCACACTTCTCCTGAGAGGCTGTTATCGTTACGCAGCTCAAAGGTTCCAGATGCAGAGCAGGTGATGTAATTAACCTCGCTGCTACGTCTTCAAGCAACACGTGGCAGTGATCTCAAAAAAGAGCCGAGAGCTATTAACCTCGCGTTAGTCTTTATCAGCAGATTAAAAACCTCTGCTGTAGCGTCAGCCAGCTGCAGAATTTCTACAAAAGAGAAAATCTGAGGTGGCTTCTCGTGGGACACAGACATGAATGATTATTTCACATATTTAATTAATTAATTTATTCCACAATTTCTTTATGCAAATATYTGCTACAGCCAAATATTTTCTCCTATTTCAGCTCAAACTCTGCTTCTTTCTGATATTCTTTTGCTTTTTCCTACTTTTTTGTCATTTTTTCTGCTAATTATGCTTTTTACAGATGTGTTTTGCTATATTCAGCTATTTGCTGAAATTTTAGCTGATGTTCAGCTGTTATTTGGTAAAGTTACATGTTTTAACTTTTTTGCAGCTATTGCAACTCATTTCTGCTAAGTTCAGCAAACATGGGCTCCTTGTGCTTCTTTATGCTAATTAAAGAATTTCCAGATACATTTTAGCTGTCTTACTGAAAATTTCAGCTCTTTTAGCTATTTTACTACAAATTGTCACTTTTTTGTACTTTTATGTTATTTTTTTCTCCTGTACTTTTATGTTATTTTTTTCTCCTAATTGTCTGTTGTTGTTTTTTTTTTTTTTTTACAAAACTTTTGTTATGTGGGTGTTAATTACAACTTGTGGCTGTGAACTTTAGCTTATTTTTATGCTAATTTTAGCTTTTTATGCTATTTCAGCTTTAGACCTGCCGCGTCTTTCTGCTATTCTTCTGCCTTTTTATATTTCTGTGCATTTTTCTGCAACTTTGTGCTCTTTATGATTTTTTACAGATATTTTCAGCTATGTTCAGCTATTTTAACTTTTAGCTTTTACCTGTTTTCTGCTTTTTAACTATATTTTTTGCTCATTTTAATGTTTCTCTGCAAATTAAGCCTTTTTTAGCTTTTCATAGTGAGCTCACATTAACACTTTTGCTATTGAATATTTTCAGATCAATTTCACCAGTTTTCAGTTTAAGTTTTCAGCAAGAAGCATTCACACTAGCATTTTTGCAGGAAATGCAATTTCTCTAGTGTTTATATGTATTTTTGTAGTTTATAGAGGTGGGCACAGCTAACTGCCAATCCACTAACTAAAAACATTAGCTATGTAAATGCTAAACCAACAGGCAGGAAAATTTGTGAAAGCTAATGCTAACTGATAACCCCTATTCAAAGTCATATTGGTGGATACATAAAACACTAAAGATGCTACACGCACACACGAAGCGTATGTGAGATTGTTTTTGCTTTCATTTGCAGACTTAAAGTTAGCATAACTACGTTTAAGCAGAGGCAGTTCTAGGGGCGGAGCCACAGGGGCATTGGCCCCATCTGAAATCTGATTGGCCCCCTGAAGTGCCCCTGTCCTGTCACTCTTCTGTCCTTGCTCAAGAACAATAATGGTGGCTGCAGTTCCACTTCCAACCGCTAGTGGTGCCAGTGAGTCTAATAGGAAAGTCCAGCATGAAGCAAGCTTTTTCAGTTTGAACWATCCTGCAGGAAAAAGTTTTTTACAAAGATGGTTAGATTTTCTCATATGTTGTGGGTTTAAGAGTATTTTATTTATGTACAATAAAAAAATCATGAAAAGTTGATAAGGAGAATTTACTGTGTAAGCTTTAGTGTTTTAACATTTGACTGGTTAAATGCATAAACACTACAAAAACTGGGGATTTGTGTGCAAGGATGTTGAACAAATACTTGGCCCCTCTATGAATATTGTGGCCCCTTGATGACCCCTCACACTGAAAAATCCTAGATCCACCACTGCATTTAGCAGAAACTAACTGGTTCAAAGTTCCAAATTTAGCAAAAACACGAATCCGTTAAAGAAAAGTTAGCTTCGTTATTAGCTGTAAGTGGATTAGCGGAACTGTGCCCGCCACTGGTAGTGTAGTTCTCTATTGTACAGTTTCTTGGTTTTCCCCTCACCACCTTACACACCTGATCCTCATTTGCTCATCCTTCTTAGTAGCTACATCTAGCCCTTGCTTTATTTATTGTCAGGTCCTTCTGCTGCTCCGGCTGGTGGGTTTCCTGCGTGCTTCCTGTTGTTGACAGTTGGCAGCCCTTTGTATTTTGATGTCAGCTGTTTGCCTTATTTTTAAAAATGAACGTTTGCCCACATTTTCTGTTTGAGGCTGCGTTTTATGTCTCATCACACATGTCTGCATCATCCCAGTGGCAAACTTGACCTGTTCAGAGAGCCGTCAGATGAGGCTGGGTGGGTGTAATTACTGGTGCTAAAGTAATTAGCGGTGAATTGTGAGACATTAATCAACACAGCATGCTATTTGTTGTGGAGGAACTCTCTACTGCTCTGATTTATTTTCATGTTTCTGTGCCAGCTGAGATTAAATCCTCAATTCAGGATGGTATTTTGAGAAAACCATCAATTTTCAGCCAGTACTTTTGCACTCTCGGAGCAAATCTGGGTTTAAAAGAACTGAGCCCAGCTGTAATATGAAGCCATTTGCTTGTCTCAAATAATTTTACAGATAATGATTTAGCCCAGTAATTACCTCAAGCTTAATGATCCAGAACAATAATGATTTTGCACATGTTTAGTGAAACTAATATCCAGAYGTGCTTCTTCTTCTTCAGAGGACAAGAACACAACCTGGTAGTTGATCAGGCTTCTGACAAACCGACACTAAATTAACCGAATGTTGTTGCAGCGATGCGTCAGATGGAGCATGAAATGTGAACGTGATCATGAGTGGYGGCAAACAGAAGCTTTCTTTAAGAAAACCCAATTAATTTAACACTCTGTTGAAGTGATTAACTGGTATTTTACTGGTGATCTTTGCTGATGCACGTGTGGAAACTTGTGTTATTCTCCTCATTAATGAGACGTCAAGGTGACATGTGGGATCAGCCGTCACTTACTAGACCTCTGCTTTTTAACCTTTTCCTTCATCGAAACATATAATTGTTTTAATCTCAACTAGACGTATTCTGGCTCCGATTTATTTTTACTGCTTGACGCCAAAAGGCRAAACCCTGGCGTTAATGGTTTTGTCTGTGTCGGTGTGTGTTTGTTCGCAAAATAGCTCATGAAATAAACCTGTTTAAGCTGTGTAACTACATCTCCCTACTTTTCCCCCGGCCAAAATCACCCTTTCTGGCCATATTACAAGGATTTGAGTGGACGAAGGTGACAGTCACCCAATCTGCACAAGTGGACACAATGCTAAAGATGCTACATGCACACACAAGGCGCACATGATGCACATGTTAAAGATAATTGGTTTTGTTATCTTAACGAACTCAAAGTTAGCAGAACTAAATTTAGCTGAAGCTAATTGCTCCTTTAATGGTTTCCAAATTCAGCAAAAACGCCAAGGTGCTAAACGAAAAGTTAGCTTTGCTGTTCGTTGTTTGCAGAACTGTGCCCATCATAGTTGGCCACAGATTTTTCAATAAGTAGTCAGTTAATAATTTAGGTCAGTGGTCCCCAAACTACGGCCCGCGGGCCGAATCCGGCCCGTCTCCCCATTTGGTCCGGCCCCCAGAACAATACCAGAGAGCATTTAGGTTGTTTTTTTTTTTCATATATGTGTA